TGCAAAGAGTTTCTCTCGTGCGCAATAATTTTTTTTTCCGCCTTCCACCTCACCGCTTTCCTATGCCCTTGCGGAACAGGGCACGGAGTTTGTAATTAATTTTCGCGGCACGGCACAACGTAATAACCGCCAGTACAAGAGCACACCCTGTTAATCTCCCTACGGGGGAGAAATTCTGACCTTCACGGTTATCACGGGCTTGGGCTCGCACTACTCTTTTGTCCTTGCTTACATTTTATTACCTGCGTTAACGCTTACGTGCGACAGTACATTTAGTGGATTATCCGCGATAATTTTCAGATTTGTCCTTTCCTTTTGTATTTACAAGCCCCGCCGTGGCAAGTAATATATAACGTAACCTTTCATTTGTATGAAAAATGCCAGAAACGCGCAAAAAAAAACCGTCGATTGTAATAAATTTTATTCGTTAAAAGAAAAGAAACAGACTCGCATCCAGCAAGCGTACACAGCATAATAACTTTAAATAACGGATAAGTGAAGATTGAGAGACTTGGTACGTGAAACGTCTGAACTTCCGCGTAGAAACCAAGTGACTAGTATATGCATGCGTAAAGTGCGTTTTTATTTCGCGTATGGGATTAAAGGTACCCATACACATTCCGGAAATTCTTTGAGAAAAAACTGCACAAAGCCTTTGGGATTTCCGAAGTGTGTGCGTGCAGTCCTGGCCTTCGGGATTTCCGAAGCGTAGTACTGCACACGCTTCGGAAATCCCGAAGGCCAGGACACCTACATTTTATCGACGCATTTGCATCGACGACCAAGCAAATATCATTTGTTAATCTTACGGTGTTTGAATCCGCTGACATTATCCAGTCGGATCGCTACTTCGCTCTTCGCGTCTAGGTAATTTATTATTACGAGCGCTGCATGCGTTATCGATCGGCGGTGCTTTTAACAGTACAGACTGGAACTCGTCTGGCGAGCTTATTTTTCTTGACAGGAAACCGACAGTGAAATTTGTCGACCGAGATTTCAGCGAGCTTCGATATATACGTATATATGACATCGTCTCGCCCAGCTTTTAATCTTCTTTTAATATCTTCTCACCTTTCCACGCGCGCAATGATAGATCGCGTGTAGTAGGATGCAAATGCGTTTCAGAAGTACCGCGAAGGAGCTCGATTTTTTCGTTCCCCCCCCCCCCCCGAGTGCGTTTAATGTACATTTCGTAAGCTGTTATTGATTGATCTTTTTCGGGAATCTGGCGTTCTGCGAAAGAGCGCTCCAGGTTTTATCGAAAAGTATTACTTGTAATTCGATCGTGATTGAAATATTAATCAGACTGCATAAATTTCGCGGAAAGAATTTTAATTTAAAATTTATCCAGAAAATTATGCAATTGTGGGACAGCGTGGCATTGCAAATTTTTATTAGCAAAATGTATGGTAAAATGTCAAAAGACTCATAAAATTCTTGGAAATGCCATGTTGTCCCACGATTACAGGATTTCCAGGATAAATTTGAAGAGAAAATTCTCTCCGTGTGCACGCAACGAAAATGTAAAGTTCATAACATCCCGTATTTTCCAAAATCTATGTTTATTTTGCCGGAGCTTCTTTAACACGCGAATTAGATTATTTCTGGCGCTTTCGAGGGAAAGGGCACCATAACTCTGTCGGTTATGTTGAAATTCGGGAAATGAAGGATGAACTTCGTGTCTCTGCGAGTGCGCTCTGATGAACGCCAGTCATCTCCGTGACGCGCGGAATCGCATCCCGCTATTTTCCGCTCGCCCTTTCCCGTGTCGGTGCATATATACGTCCCGTTTATCCCCCCACAACTATCAAAGGCAGGCGCCGACTTCGCAATTTAAACGCTAAAGCGCGTGAAACCGAACTCGATACGCGCCAGCGGTATCTGCGCGAACGGCCATCACAGATATGCGGCGGGCGAGATTAAAGAATCTCCGCGGATTGCATCCGCGTGCGCGTTTGCATTTCGTTGGCGATTTTTCTTGCCGCCCGACAAAATCCGAGCATTCGCAGATCACTGAAATAGTTAAAAGCGATAAACGGCACTCGGCAACATGTCGACGGGTGCGTTCACGCTTTTCAACTAATCGCACAAATATTGTGGAAAGAAAGTTTTTTTAGGCATGTAATTATATTAATCTATTCTTTTACGTAATATGTTTGCATACGTAATATTTATTTCCAGTCGGTACGAAAACCAAGAGCTCACAACTTTTTATCCCACTTATTAATAAAAGAATTACTGATTAATTACATGTATATCAATAACTAGGTGGAAACTACTTATTAATGTACTTCTGAAGGAGTAATAATTATTTAATAGAGAGGGAGAAAGAGGAGAAAACTCTTCTTCATTTTTATTTCCTTATTTTTTAATCACTTTTTTTTACGTTATTGGATATACCTTCCATTCAGGAAGTTGAAAGACTCAATTGAGTTTATTAGTAGTAAAAATCGATAAAGGTATTCTTGAATTAGGAATTTTAATAGAAAAATCTGCTTTATTTATCTCTGGTATATTAAAAGATTCTTTTGCAGAGCTTAATTAAAAAAGCATAAGACGATGTGGGGCGAATTGATTTTTTAAAAAAGAAGAGCCAGACCGGGGGATATAATCGCGGGATAAAATTTGCCGCGACTACGTTTGCGTACGTACATCCAACTGCTTAGCATAGAAATAGAGACAGTCGAATTTTTTTACTTCCCGCGGACCGCACTAAATGGATTTACAAGCTTAGTTTCCCTCCCGTTGCAGTGTATTCCCCAAAAGAAGATAAATGAATCGCGGATAGGGAGGAGAGGCGAGAGCGGAAGGGGGACAAGGCAGATAGCGAAAAAGAGAAGAACAAAACGATTGTCAAATCCTTTCGCCCTACGACGAGAAGGGCTCGTAACGTCGCTTGTCGAGCACGGTTTTTCAGCGAAACGCCAAAGGTCCTACATCTCTTTATGTTTATTCGCGGCTGACATTCGCGCTCTCTTTCACCGTAATAAAGAACTCACTGTCGTCTGCAGTTTAAGATGAGAACTCGGCGTCGATGCAGACAACGCGATGAATGCAAAATCGACGCTTTCTGTCTAACGAAAGGATGGGGCGCCAACCATTGTTGGACCTCGATAGCACTCGAACGCATCTCGCGCGTATACTTGGCGAAATGACAGGGATAGTAAAATGAGTATAATAGGGCAACGCCACGCACACCCCCGGCGGTAACCAAATTGTTTGGGACGTCGCGTCATTTGTGCGTAATAACGCGCCTTTACGTAAAATTCAATAATTAAAGCGATACAACGGCGTCGCCGTGTTAAAATTGATTGCAGGTTTTTATGCGAATTAGTAATCGATGAAAAAAAATTGGCTAAAGTTTAATTGCTTCATTATCGCGCAGAACAACGTAAAACGCGTTTTCTAATTAGTCCGGATACGTTTCATTACTGTCAAATGCTTTTTCTCTCGTTTGCGGAGAGACCTTAGCAATTTGAAAGTTCCGCCCCGACCATATTTGAGAAAGTTTCTTCAACTCTTAGCACGTTAGAGAACCAAAAAAAAAAAACATTTAATCGCGAGTTTAATCTCGTGCATTATGAAAATAAATCCGGCTAGTCCTAGGATAATTCAAATCGAGCAACAAGGAATGCAAGGGAGGAAGATTGGAGAAGGAATGCAAACCATGCACCGAACGAGACTGCATTGATTCCAGTATAAACTCGACCCGCCCAGACGGGACCATGCCGGGAAATCTTCGTGACGAATTCCGGCGACAGCGTCTGGCGAATACAGACTCTATTGGATTTCGAAATATTCAACCCGTGAAGCTTTTCATTCGCGCAAGGATTAGCGTGCGAGATCGGGGAAATAAGTAGAAATAAATCCATACGGAAACTAATAGTACCTAAGCTTTAGATTCCGAATTGCATAAAAGGAAGCCGCGGAAAAATTGCGCTTAATAATACGTTCTCTTTCGACATTATCTGAAATACTTGATTTACAACTTGATTTAAACTCGCTGACGCAGATTGTACTTTCCATGTAATTCAAAAGCCATCTTTGAGCAATAGAAACTATAATAACTTTTATCAGCACAATCTTGACTGCAATATAAAGTTATCTTTCCGTGTGTTTTCAAAGTTTTGACAAATTAAAATATCTCTGTGTAGTACGAGAAACTGCGCAAACAATAGACAAACTCAGTGGAGGAGTTTCTTGAGTAATACGAAATTTATTTTATAAATTATATCCATAATTTTTATATGCGATGCCGATCTACAACATATTCGTGGATCTCTAATTCTTTAGGTTTCAGAACTATATCGATGTCAAAATAAAATAGCAATAAAATTTAATAATCTTATAAAATGTAAATTATCTTTCACTTTTATCAAAAAAATTATTATTATTATAAAATGTAAGAGTAATGGAAACAAATAAAGAACAGTATTACTGTTAATTATTTTGAAGAGAAATTCATGAGGATTATTTCGATATAAATTTAATTTAATTTATGGACCTCTAGCTCTTCAAATTATTTCTAAACTGCCTCTATAAAATACGAGGGGACTATTTAATATAAATCATCCACCCAGAAAATTTGTAAAATGTGACAATAAAAAAACAGTGTCGATAGAATAAAATAATAATGAAAAATATTATTCACCCTCTTTTATTCAAAGGGATGTGAACTATAAACATAACTAACGAAATATAAATAATAGAAATGTAAATAAATAATAATATTGCTTTTTAATACTATTTCGAATCAAAGTGTACTCTTTTTACAAATCTTTTAATTAAAGATTCAATTGAGAAGATGCTGAAGATGCTGAAGATTCGATCATTACAAAGACGGCTTATTAATTTTCCTTTACGGAAACTGATCAGAGGCGAAGAAAGAGCGTAATCAATAAGAAATGTAGTCTCCTATCGACATGGGAATGGTCGAAACGATACTCGCAGCGCCCTTGCACGCGAGCACGGGGAAGCCGTTTGAATCTTCTATCGATTGAGGCTAAGAATAACGTTGGAAACATCGGTGAAACGTACTCCAAAATATTATGGCGTCATGTCCGACGCCACTTGTTGGAGATGTGCGGCCTCCTGACATATGTGCTCACAATCACCCCGCAATAATACACGCGATAAACAAATATTCTAGATGACGTTAAGGACGGCGCGTTACTTCGAGTAATGATAATCGCATAGAGTGGAAGCTACCAGTTTGTCATACGTGGCTACGAAGTGTGACGTGATTTTGTAAAATTGTCTCGACTCGCTCAAATATTTCCGCGATCCCGTAAGATTGCGAGGATCCTCGATATTAACGCGCCGCTCGTGTTTCGGAAGCACCTGATGACGATTTCGCGAGATGACGACTCTTCGATGTGACACCGTCTGCTCCGTTTTAATTTTGCTCCATATTTTAGTGCACACCAAGGCGGCATTGAGGGATATTTTGAGCGCTCAGGTAATTGCATGCAGATATCTCGTAGGGCAAGAAGAAAGCATTGATATTGAAGTGATTAATTATACATATTTTTTATGAGTATAAAAAATACGTATTGTGTGTAAACCGCCGGAGAGAAAAAGTCCGTTTGTTTCGCAGCATTTGCCTGACACCAAGTTCAGCGCGAATGAATATTCTGATGACGACAGAGAGTATTCTGATGTCGAGGTTGATAGAGATAGAGGGTCCTTAATGCAGCCGAGTGAGCAACAAAATACAAAGGACCGTTTGTATTTAAAAGCCGATAGCTACATTGGCAAAAAGGAGCCAGTAACTGCAGCTACCTTGAATAAAGGCAAGTATCGAGTATTTCTTTGGCAAAAATCCACATGTTATAGTTGACGTTTTCTTACTGTATTTTCCTCAGACACGATATGGGATGCGCAATGGGGCGCGCAACTGAAATTCACTCAGGTGTCGGCAGTTGCTGTGGATCCGCACGGCAACATTGCGATATTTCATCGAGGGGATCGCGTCTGGGGCCCCGAGAGTTTCGACAATGAAAACAGATTCGATCGAAATAAAGGGCCGATAGCGCAGAACACAATAATCCTTTTGGATAAAAGCGGCAAGGTGACAGCGGAGTGGGGAAGGAACATGTTTTACCTGCCACATGGCTTGACTATCGATCAGTCTGGGAATTATTGGGTCACTGACGTGGCGATGCATCAGGTATTCAAGTTTGATGCTCAAGACGTGGAAAGACACGTGGAAGAATTGAAACGCGCGCAGGCGGGTCAGCCTAACGATCGTGCTAGCGCATTACCCGAAAACGGCACGCTGAGGCCGTCTAAAACTTTGGGGGAGGCTTTTGTTCCTGGTAACGACAATAGGAGATTTTGTAAACCGACTGACGTTGCTGTACATAGTAATGGTGACTTTTTTGTCAGTGATGGCTATTGCAATTCTAGGATAATTAAGTATAATAAAGATGGTGAAATAATTCTACATTGGGGACGACACTGGGACGCTAGTCTAGGTAACGATGAAGAATAAGATTGCTGTCAAGAGCGATAAGTAACATCTGAATAAGTGCTAAACTAAGCCTCGCCCTTCGTTTCAGGGTCTGCCTATTCGCAGCCATCGCCGTTCACGTTTCTCATCGCGCACGCTTTGGCGCTCGCGAGTGAATTGAATTATATTTATCTCGCCGACAGAGAAAATGGCAGGGTATTGTGCTTCTTTGCCAACAACGGTACATTCCACAAGGAATACAGCCATCCTGATATTGGTACAAAAATTTACAGCGTTGCCTACGCTCGAGAGAAATTATATCTAATCAACGGACCTGATCCGTTTATAAGCAATCCAGCGCCAGTGAGAGGCTTTGTACTTGATATTCATTCCGGGAAAGTATTATCGATGTTTCAGCCCAACAGAACCATGGATAATCCGCATGACCTGGCCGTGACGGAAGACGGTTCCGAGATATACGCAGTAGAATTAAATAATAGAAAAATTTATAGATTTCTACGAGGTACAGTGTTGCTAGGTGTTTTATAACAATCGAAACTTATAATTCCGTGATGTTATACCTTAAACGTATCTACCCTTTCTTCTGTTCTAGGGGTAAACAATTCGCAGTCCGCTAAACGCCATCAACCTAAGATCTTAGTACATCCCGATACTAAAGATGACGACATTGAAAAGACCAACGCGACAAAATTGATCCTGAGCCTCGGCTCGGCGGCCATTTCCTTTATTACATTATGCATTGCAATTGCCGCCATTGTAGCGAGATGCCAAAAACGAGGTAGAAAAACGAGACGTCGTTATGACGAACCGAACGTTGAATTCTCTAAATTAGTAGAATAGAAGTAAACGTTACTTTAATTTTGTGGTTGTGTTGGTCTTCCGTTGTTGCAATTTTGTTGTGCACTTGTGCGTTTATTTATTTCCCGTATTTACTAAGCACCAATTTACAATGTATATAGATAATGTGTAATAATTGAAATTTAGGAATGACGATTTAGGGCCATCGCATACAGAGTTGCATAGCTGCACGTGCATAGCACGAAAACCGTTTAAACCAATGAGCATCGAGCATTGAGTCGCCGTATTGGTTTACATAACATATGGTCTTATGCTGTGCATATGCAGCTATGCAATTTTGTGTGCGATGGCCCTTATTGCATATGATATTGCATGATAACAGCAAATCCAGATAAAATATCTATTGTATGAATGTATTTATTATGAATTTATTGAATTGTGCTATTATCACGCGATAATTATCATTCCCAGACTTCAACCATTATGCACAATCTGTGGCAGCAGAATCTGTCTAATCTTGTTCCTATTATATGCTCGAATTATGCTTACTTGTCTAAGGTAATCTATTTAAGTTTTTAAGACTTAATTTTTGTTTCTTTTATCCTTAATTAGGAAGCATTGTGTATTTTATGTGTTTGCATTTCACACACACACACTGCACGCAATTTATTAATTGTAAATATTATGAATATATACGTATATTAATTTCAGATCTCTTTCATTTATTACATTATATTTAAATTTTTAATATATTATACTGCTTCTTCCAATTTCTTTTACTACGTCGTCACATACTTTTTCATGTTACACACGGAGAGTTTTCTCTTAAAATTTATCCTGAAAATCACGTAATCGTGAGACAACAAGACATTTCCAAGAATTTTTTAGGACTTTTTGGAAATTTTACCATACATATTACTAGTTAGTATTTAGTTAGTACACATTTTACTGTTATGTTGTCCCACATGATTTTCTGGGTAAATTTTAAGAGAAAATTCTCTTCGCGTACATAAATGAAAAATATGTTATCTTAGTTTTTTAATATATTGTACCACTCCCTCTAATTTTTGTCTCTGTATGTGTTGTTCATGCACTCGTTATCTGTTACAGATAAGAAAGAAATACAAAGATATACAAATACAAATTAAATTACGTTCAAATAATAAACATATTATTTGAACGTAATTTAATTTGTATTAATTTAACTTAATTTAATTCAATTATTTTAACTTAATTAATTCAGGTGAATTAGTTCAATTTAATTCATTTAATTAAATTTCCTTTTTTTCTGCACTTACACCTAATGTAGAACTTTCTAAACCTCTCATAAAACTCCGTGTTGCTAGTTGTTTAATTGTTGACGACATCAGCTCTCCGCAACTGAACGAATAACTTATAAATCGTTCACTTACCAAACCTGAAACAACCTAAAAATTTTAAAACTCTGTAATTATAATTTCCTCGGATAATTATTTCAATGTTATTTTTTCTTTAATTATTTTATCCGTTTTTCAACGTGAACCAGTTTTCCATTTTGAAATATTTCTCCGTTATCGAAATAATTTTTTTTTAATTAAAATCGTAATCCCGTAATTTACAAGTTATTCGTTTCGTTGCTCAAAGAAGGACTCATATTAACGTTATCGGATTAATATTGGCGTGGATATCAGGCTAGAAAATGCACGATCGCATGCGTCGCGCATGCGTGTAACGGACTTCGATGTCGCGGCGTCGCTCGTCCGAGCGAGATTTCGGTTTGCCGGTGCCGCTTTCGCGGCAACGCACCGCCCTCCGCGCGAAATGACACGAAATAAATTAACCGAGTGCGTTTCGCATTCTTAATGACGCAGGGTGTCTACTCACGATGCGCAAGAGGATGCGTTGGGAGGCCGAGAGGCGAGAGAACTTCAAGCTGACGAGCCTGCTGGAGAGCCGCCGCGGCAGGGGCTTCAGGTTCCTCGAGAAGCGGCCGAATCCGCGGGATTTCAGCAAGCTGAGCACGGAGCCGGAGACGTCGGAGGACGAGCATCCCGAGAACAGCCTCGCGAGGGTCATCTAAACGCGCCGCGCCAACGATGTTGCCGGGAACGAAGCGGGAAAAGCCGCGCCGAATATGCCCCGCCGGCGAATGCGACGTGATCGCGTGAAGTGCGCGCCGGTTCGAGCTCTCCGACGTTCGCGCCGCCGAGCGCCGCCGAGCCGACCCGAACTCGACCGACGGTACGGGCGCGCGATTACGAATTCGCGTTGCCGACTACCGAACATGCAGCTGCTTGACGTTACCTTTTACCCGCGTTCTGACATCGTATTCTACACGTGAAGGGCTCGGTAAAACGAGAGCCCCGAAAAGAAGTGCCATAATTGTTGAAAATTAAGTCGAATACGCAGGCGCAACGATATATTGTCGCGACGTTACGTGCGAGTTATCTATCTGCGGATTATCTTGAATTTTAGTTCGACGCGTATGATTCTTGAATTAGAAATCAAAAATTTACCACGAGTATCGTTTGAATCGCGTCACATCTCCGAAAGCCATTTAACAAAATTTATTAATAACTAATAACGCAACGTTAAATCGTACGTAAGATTGAAAATCGTGTAAAGATCCGAGGATCCGCTTACGCAGGACGTTCTTCAGAGAACGAGTAAAATGGTAATGTTAATGGAGCTTGAGTGTATTTTGTAAGTAAGCTATGTTCATATTCCTGCTCGACCACTGATCCAAGCTGACTTTGCGAGCGATGTCATAATCTAGTCAGAAAGCTAGTCATTACCCGAAATAATTGCCGTTGGCTATATATAGATAGACTGCGCGTCCTTTTGGGCGCGCTGAAGACTATACTGGAGGCTAGAGATATTGCGTGAGCGATGCTTCTCTCTCGCTCTTTGTGAAGAGTGGGGGAGAAAACAAATACGCATATTAGAGAAAGACACACTCACTCAGGCTGGAGACGCTGTAATCAGAGACTGACCGTAAAGCCTATCACACGAAGCCAGGCAACAGGAACAGGGAATAGAATTTCTGACGCGTCGGATTGGTTGGACGAAAATTTCCGACGAATCCAACGCGTCAAAAATTCTATTCCCTATTCCCTATTCCTATTGCCTGTTGCCTGGCATTGTGTGATAGACTTAAGAGTTGAACGTCAAATTCTACGATCGTAGAAGAGTGAGATAGCCTATGTTTCTCTCTCACTCGCGGGAATTTGACGAACTCTTATGGCCAGTCTCTGATTACAGGGTCTCTAACTCAGGCTATTGCTCTCTCTCCCTCTCTCTCTCTTTCACTTTAATGTAGTCTTCAATTCTTCTCACGGGACGCGCAGTCTATTTGTACAAGTCTATGACAATTGCGTACAATTTTCAGGATTTGATAGGAACGAAAGAAACTAGACTCGTTTTTGCCAGCCGCGCTTACACACATGTGTTCCCGTAAACCTGTTTCCTTTTGCCTCTTCCAAAAATATAAAGCTATTTCGCTTTAAGGTGGTTCGGTTAATTTAAACAGATCCTTTCTTCGCCTACCATTAATTTGGGAGCGTATGTAGGATCTCCAAGTTTACGCGAGTTTACGTGAAAAAAAAAGAGAGAGGGAAGAAAAATAATCAATTTGCTGCTATCTTGATTTCGCGTGGACAGATAAGTAAGCTGAAAACAATGAATTTACCGATTTCTCTTCAGAGAGGAAATAAGTTCGAACGCTTAATCCGTAATTTCCTTATTTCCGTAACGAACTTCATGAACCGAGGTTGATAACGTGCCTTGAATCTTCAAGCTGCACAGTTTGCGGCACGCATACTGTATACGCCGCATTCAAAAATCATTTATGCCTAAAGTTTGATCCGAAACCTTCTATTTCTAATCGGGCGACCGGAAAACAATCAGCTGGACAGCAACGTCTGCTGGAACCTAACCGTATAAATAATGTGACACATTCTTATTAAAACTTTTAACAGCCATCATTTCTGACGATCATAAATCATATTTAACGAACAGTACCAACATTTTTAACGACTATAGATCTTGTAAGATCGCCGTGTTAGCTGTATTTTTCGTACCCGAGAGAAACGATGCAAGAAAAAAAATTATTTAAGAAAATAAAATTTACTTAAGCACTCAAACATTTGCAACATGGTATAACAATTACGTACGGAAGTAGTAGATCTCATCTTGCATTGTTCACCTTGAGTATATAATCAATATCTAGAAATCATGGGACTCTGACAAAGTAGATTGATACGTGAAATTAATGCCAAAATACATTTTAGCACTCGCAAAGTTTTACAGCAGCCAGAAAATATGTATTTACATAAGGCAACTATATAATCGATAGATTTATAAACCCTAAAAAGAGATATGTATCCGAGAGTACTTCTTCCACGTTAATAATTAAATACTCGATCATTCTACGATTAATAAAAGTGAACATTTAAATTATTCGTTGACTTGTGTTTCACGAATTGAAATTATAATTTACTTGCTACGTCCGGGCAACATATCACCGTACGAAATATTAATATTTTACTTGGGAACAAAATTGCTCAAGCGACAACTTGTATTACAGAAAGCCACTTTCATTAAAGTTAATCTCTTTCTCTTCTTTTTTTAATATTTTGTACATCTCCGCCCGATTCAATGTACCGCTAACTTTTAAGCTATTAAATTAAGAACTGTCTATGAAACTGTCTATAAAATACATACTACATGTTGCTTTACAAAATCAAGCTCATTTGTTTTTCGATAGTTCATTGGTTGGTTTAACGCCATTGTCGTGGCATTATTTATAAGCTCGTGAATAGAACATACACCCCTATTTTCGCTTTGCGATGAATACTAATTTAAATCAGTACTGTAGTACAATCTTAATTACTAATGCAGATTTCCCTTTGGAATAATGCAGCATCCCCTATACGATGTAAGAGTATGTAATCCATGTATCTATAAATACAAAAACCTATATTTTCAAATAGAATCGAGTGTACCACTTTATTGTATGCATATAATAATGGTTGGGGAATAATCGTAGCAAGATTTGCTACGACGGGACACGACCTGATCCATACGAAGATTCACACGCTTCTCGATAAGGAGGATACTCCATGGATAAGGAGTGGGACGAAACCGTTCGATATTTTGATAATGATTTATTTTTTACACACTTAGTTGACCTCTATACACAACTATACAACGATGAAAATTAAAATTCTGCCTATTTACCGCTAATTAAGGTCATCGACGATAATGACTTGTGATAGAGATGCAATAAAGTCAGTCGATTCTCTTCCGATTCACGGGAATCTGAAGAATCGGGTGACGTCTGCGGACAGTACGATTCGAATCAACTTCTGGGCGAAATATCTAAAACGTACGATCAGCAGAGGCCATGTATGTTACAAATCACCTGTAAAGAGTGACGTCCGCGCCTGCCGCACACAAACCAAAGGACGTCAGTCTCCACTCGCTGAAGTCTATCTACACACGCATGATAAATTAAATAAATACAGGAATTGTTCTTCGATTAAAGGGAGGTATCACGATCACCGGGGACACCGATCGGAGAGCTCTCATACCATCTGGATCCGAGTTAAGAACGGGGAGGAACGTTCCAATCTGTCTGCATGAGCGTAAATTGGCGTATTGCTAGCGGAGAACACTGGCTTACAAAACAACCAGTTTTCGACCCATAAAATAATTGCATATGTCCCATAAAGCATGTTATATGTATTTGATTTAAAATTTTACATGTATTTTATACAAACGCACTTACACGAGCCATCGTACATTTCACATTTTTTATTGAGAGAGAAAACGAAGTGTGCGTCATAACGTTCCAAATTTTTCCGTCATTACCACGTTATCCCCTAGCGATATCTACGTAAGAGCGATCAAATAGATTGAACGTTATAACCCTTTAACTAATTGTTCGGTTCATTCATACAAAAACTTCAGCAGTTATTAGCAATATGTCAATTTAAGCATGCAACACGATGACGATCACCGAATAGAATGGGTTCTCCTTTTACGCGCTAAAGAGATGCATGCTCGACGACGAGGTATTGCGCGAAGCGCTCGAAAATAAGGAACCACAAACACTCCGACGAACATCGTTAAGGTCCTGCTTCCGTCCCACGTCGACGACAGGACGAAATCGAGAGGGGACGCCCACCACAGCCGCGCGCGCCCATATTTTTTTGTACATTAAAAATCGTATACGTTCGTAGTGATACATCGACAATTGCCTATCTGTTATTCCATATTTATCGTTTAGGTTTACCTAGGTCTACCGTAAATTCGTAACTAGAATAGTCGACTTTTCGCAGCCGCTCGCAATCTACCACCGGTGCCGCTTTGGGGTAATCTTGCGCGCACCGATGTCGCCGTCGGAAAAGTGAACGGCCATCCCGAAATATATCACAATGTCCATGTATACTCACGTTCGATCGTAATGTTGATGTCATCATACTTATTACATTATTATTGTTATTATTAATATTAATATTATTATTATCGTTGTATAATAATTATTATTACTATAATTATTGTTGTTATTATTATTATTGTTATTGTTATTAGACGTATACTTTATTTACAAAACTTACGTTTCGATGACAACAACCGAACAATGTATATATTTGTAGCGTGCTGTAAATTTCTTCATTCAGGAATGTAATACACGAATGTACGCTAACTTGCATTCACATCACCGAAAACGTTTGCCACCGATAGAAACGCGACGAATGATGTGCCTTGCCATCACGAACTTATTAAAAGAAGCAAAAGGGAATGTTCAATGCAAAGAAATTGTTATGTTTATTACGATAAACGTTTGTCTCCGCACATCATGTACGATCCTCGTCCGAAACGTAACGTCGACACAAGAAAGACTAGCTTTTCGTTGCGCATAAATTACCATATACAGCACTTTTACTCCGCAACAGAATCGTTGAGTCGCTTTGTCATCCCTTTATTGCCAGAAGACTCGAGTTAATTTTAATTGTGTCATTTTTCGATCGGGTGTCAACTTTTGTACGAGACTTTGCTCGTTCGACGGTGCACGTCGTGAAAGGTACCGGCATTTATGCTCACTTGAAAAGCAATTCCCGTCTCTCGTCACACAAAAGATAAGTTATTCTTTCAAGCAGACATCCCTTCTCGATTGTTTTAGTGTGGACAAACACGCGACGCAAGGAATCCTATCGCGACTCTTGGAAACCGGTTTTTCGGACAAACCTAAACTCTGTCGTTCGAACGAAAACGTAAACGTCCAACGGCGAAATTTTATTTAAAAAAAAATCGAAGTACACCGTTTTCGAAGCGAAACCACGAACCCCTGCGTACACGGTCCCAGTTAAACGCAATTGCAACACGTTGCAGATCAAAATAGCCTGCAAACGAGAGCGGTCGACAGCTTCGTCGCAGTTGCGACTCAAATAATGGTAATTGCAGTAATAATACAATAATAATATACCCTATCACGTCAATATTTTTACTATATTTACACAATGCCGTGTATATATAATACTAAGATAACTTGTCGTATACATCTCATTGCACCTCGCCACGCCTTCCGCTTTGACCCCCATGACTCGAAAATACAATGTGCATCTTTCCCTGCGTTTCACCGTCGAGCGGGAAGCGCCCCCCGCGAGAGAAGAAACAGGTGTAAACAGAAATCACGTGGCGGAAACCCACGCCCTAATCAGTTTGTCACACTCGTCGGAATGCAGTTAAATAATTTACAATTAGAGAGGCCTTAATCTCATCGACGTTTCTTTAGCACGCGAGCGCAGACACTCGAAATGCCTCTAACGAGGGCAAAACGAGCAGAGTTTAACGACTGCAACCGCGACAAATTGCCCCCACCCCTCTTGCAGTATAACAATCAAATCCAATTGTTTCACCGATCTTATTTGGAAGAAGAAAAATACTCTCTAAAAGTCCATCAGCGGATTATCACTGAAAACAGTGAATGGCCACTAATTTGCAGTTACACGTATACCACTGAAAGTCGCAATGGTATACTTTTAACTGTAAATCAGTGACTATTCATTGTTCTCAGTGAAAATCCACACGGAGAGAATTTTCTTTTAAAATTTACCCCGAAAAACGTGTAATCGTGGGACAACGTGACATTTTAAAAAACTTTGTGAGAGTTTTTTGAAATTTTACCAGTAAAATGTATGGTAAAATTTCAAAAAACTCTCATAGTTGTTCAAAATGCCACGCTGTCCCACGATTACATGATTTTCAGGATAAATTTTAAGAGAAAATTCTCTCCGCGCACTGGTTGACTTCACGAGAGTAAATCAGCGTGTGTTACAGTTACATGGAGCCAATCGTAAAAGTCCGATGCGGACGTTATTATATTAATATATGTGTACGCGGAATAGCCACCCCTCGATGTTTTCGCAGCGCACAGCGCCAACCCAAGGGTTCACGCGCGGAACTGGTAACAGAGTTTACGGCAATTATCTCCCTTTAAGACTCTTCGTGTCCCAAAATTCATTAATCTGCACAAATCACAATTCATTCCTTCCTTTATCGACAGCTCGGTGTGATTAGTAGGACGGAGCGTTCCATCACTCGTAAAAACAGCCCCCATACTATGACGGATCATATATTAATCATTGACATTCGGAATGACTCCAACTCGAATGATAATTACAACGGATTTATAGTTGCCGCGGTGGCTCGATATTAAAATGAAGATCCTGCGAGAAACTTCGGTCATTGCCATTTTCTAATATTTGGAACCGTCACGATTAGGATAAACTTTTACCGTTACTGAGCAAAATCTGCTTTCATTTTATTAAATAATTCTTCATGAACCGCTGTGAAACGTTGAAAATCCATTTAGAAACGAAACCTCGTCGATTCGCTCTTTCCGCGAATCACCTGGGTAGAAAAACTCGCCAATATGAATAATTTGCGCGGCTAAAGGATTTGTGCCGGTGATTCGGTTTTCCCCACAAAATATCAAATAACGTTTACGTCTGTTGCTATTCAAGACGTATTTGACTAGACGATACAGCGAAAGTATTTACATTCCCAATTAAGAAATCTCGAACGTGCAATTTTAATTGCTACAACTCCGTCATACTCCATCAAGTTTCTTTACATTTACGGCATCGAGTCGATGGTTGGCCCGATATTAGAATCAGCCGGACAGATTTGCGGAAAGTCAGGTTTACATTATACATGTGTCACGATGGTCCTGGGAAGGCTACGATGATGAGAATCTATATTGCGCAAATTGTCACTGTCGATAATGCCAGCAATTTCGATCCTCTACCCTGATTTTACCTCCGCGCTAATTTATAGAAGAGTACTCCTTTCGTAAATTCTCCGCGCAATCCTGGTAGCTATTTCGTCTGGTAGGGCAAAGTTCGCGTGAAAAATAAATAAATACACAGCACACGTTAAATTTGCGTATCGTTACCGCCCCGTTGAATTTCTATCGGTCAAAACGCCCAAGATTATCTGAACATTCTAATTTCGTCGTTACTTGCTGTACCTCGCTGGCTTTATATTAAATTCAAACAAGCGGACAGTTTTGGACCTTGATCGAATTTAGAATGATCGTTCCAATATCGGCGATCTTGACCTCGCTCGAACGTAAAATTGACGACAGCCAGCTAGATAAATCTCTTGGATCTCTCGCGCCTCCTCCGCGCCCTCCCGTGGAATCAGTCACGGAAACGCAGTCCTATCTTACGGTTGCCATCGACGGAACAGAGAGGAGTACTCGTTCCATGGATTATGGTAAGCTTCTACCGGCCGGCAGTTTTCCCTCCAGTGGAACTGAACGTCAGGAAAGACGGTTCAGACGACGCCTTGGTAAACAGGACTGTACTCCATGTCGTGGGTATACTGAGGTGGTCCTGGCGGCGGTGGCTGTGGGCTGTACTGTTGCGAGGCGTCCGAGGCGCGGCGCCTGAGCGCCGCGATGCTGTGGGCGCCTCTCCAGTCCGATCCCTCGTTCGTGACGTCGGCGCCCACGCAGGAGACGCCGCCACCACCGCCACCGCCGCTGCCGCTGCCACCGGTACCGGAAGTCGTGCCCGGAGAACCCTGGCCGCAGTTCAGGCCCGAGCCCATCCCACCGCCCTGACCGCCACCCACCGAGGGTGGTGAACCTCGGGACGCCGACACGTGAACCCCACCTCCTGCTAAGTAGAAGAGAAGATCGGATGAGCGTCTTTCCTCCTTCGAGCATCCGGCTCTTTATATATCGGTGCGAATTTACCGACACAAGTGACTTTAAACAGCCGCTCGAGAGACTCCCGGCTAGCGAACGTGACTTCGTAAGTGTACACGTTACCCAACGGTTTGCAATGACTACCGAGCGCTAAATATTTCCCGATAAACAGCAAATACTAAACAAAGGGCAAATATTTATTACGATACAGTCAACCACGCGGACGAGGCAGCGCATCTCTAAGACGACTCAGGTAGAAGAGAGGCAATTTACAGGTGCGGCATCGCAGGTGCGGGAGCGAGCGTTTCCTTTTTCTCCGCAGAAGATATTAATACGGTAGGCTGACAAAAGCACGTGGGGTTGCGCTACCGGCCGTCGTAAAGTCGTTTCCGCCTCCTCGCGCACCAACGCTGGTGGGCTCGGAAGGCTACGCGGGAAAAGGGGCTCTTTTTATGGCGGTGTGTGCGTTGCGTCGAGCACAAATTTGCGGAGGGCCCTACGGCCAGCGGCCGCTTTTGAAAAGCCATTCGAAAGAATGGACGTCTAATGGCGACGATGTACGTCATTTTATGACCATTGTCGGCTGAAACGGTGATCCGTGTTGCCGTGCGATTCAGCCGCGCAGCGATCAATGAAGTTTTCATGCTGCGGACGCACGAAACGAACGACCAAACTGGAGGCAAGTGAGGCTGATAATCTGACGCGTGTTTTTTTTTCTCTCTCTCTCTTTTTATATCCGACAACGGAATAGGCGGCTCTCGCTGAAACTTCAACTTTCGCACGCACCGAGTTTTATTTTTTCGAGATTAAAGTACGCGTCCGGCGCGCCGTTCGCGGTAGCGCGGGCCGAAAATCGGGCGTTTCGAAACGCGATAATTTACGCATTACGCAGGTTTGTTTGCGCCAGTCTGGCGCGGTGGTCGCCGCCGAGAGAGAGGTGGGGGAGGGAGGAGAGAAAGAGAAGCGCCAAATGGAAGTTCCCCGATCGACTAGGAACCGCGCCGCGTTGGGTTACATTGCGGGTGCTAATCATCATTGGTAACCGAAAAATAACGTTCTAGTCTAAAAGCTATTTGCTCTAAGTATTATCCGCGGATAAAAGCACATAGCCGGCTACGAGCCGAGGCTGGACCCGTGGTTTACCTTAAGGCCGCGCCACGCACACCGCCACGGCGCGTCTCGTGGAACGCCGATTTTTTCTCCTTTCAGGTGACGCTACCGGGCGATAACGCTCGGTAATTGGCACCGCATAAGCGTTACGCGGCACGTGCATACGCACATACGAGTGTACGGTCAGCTTGCGAAATTGTGCTGCGCCGGATTTTCACCGTAAGCTTCGCGAAAGCCCGACGTCCATGTGTGGCGTTCGACTTTCCTCCCGTCAAATGTATCAGCCGCTAATTAATGCATCCGATGCGGTTTTAAGAGAGAGGGATTTCTCCTCGCGGTAACATAATTATCGCGCTAAGAAATTTGGATATTTGATTGTCAATTTTGTGCTCCGTCGTTTCCCTCGCGCATGAATGACCTCGTATTCGCTGAAAGATGAGCTCGCGAATAATACAATTCGTAACCGCGTCGATAAAATTCATCCCGAGGGCTGACGATCCGCAGCAGCAAATATCAACGCGAATAAATCTATTTCGGCGTATTGCCCAATGTGCATTTTGTATTAAAAAAAAACGGCGTATAAAAAAATCACTTGCAAAGTAATTTTTGGAACGCGACTAACTGCTGAAAAATGGAAAAAATAAAAAGATAAGAAAGAGTATTCTCTCTCTGGGACACGGAGACGAGACTGTTTTTTCTATTATCGACTTTCTTATCACCCGTATTTTACAAATCCATTATTCCTTACGGTTGAGCGCCGAGACCCGACTTGTTCTACAAGAAAAATTATTACGCGAAACTCTGATTTGCGCTTCAATCCTGCTCGTAGACCTTTAATATACCATGAATAAACTTTATACCGATCTCATTTCTGCATTTAATATTACGCAAAGTGATAAAACAGTCTCAAAATTTTCGGACGTCAATATTAAACTCGTTCTAGATTATTGAAGCGTCTAAATATCTAAATTGTTCGAGTAACACGTGATTGCACAAAGGGCACATGCGTTTTAAATAAAATCTCGTTTTCGCGCTACACACGAGATCTTGGTTTAGAAGTCGAGGGTACATCGCGCTCGATTGCAATCTCCGCGAAAGAAGAAATTTCACACGCGATTTATCCCCTCGAGTATAATATCTTCGAGGATACAAGGTCCCCGGGTGAGGTGAAGCGTAACTCAACCAAGACAGGTTGCATCGAGATGTTATGGTAAACATACAGCGAAAGATCTCGCACCTAGGTGCGAGATCGGGCTTGGAGTTTGCCTGCGTAAACAGACGGGAGGACGAGGTTTATGTTTCTGTCTCAAATTCCTTACGTGCAGGCGCATAACCCCTTCGAACCTTAATGCACCGTAACGTTTAACGACTTCGTCAAAGAGACTTCCACGCTGTTTGCACGTCGTCTTTTAGAGGACCACGGTACCAAAAGTTTGGCAAGACGATTATCGGCACACGTATAAGCGGCCGGGTTGACGCGAACGTTAAGATTCTCCTGGGTGTGTCTATTCGCGTTCGCACATGTCGCCAACTCGGCAACGATCCGCGCTACTTGAATAAGCAACGATGAAAAACGTTACGTTCGCACGAGTCGTCTGGAGTAGCGAGGTATAAGCGCAAAACGCTTTTCACATCTGGGCAATCTCTCTGTCTTATCTTTGGGAGGACCATAAACGGCGTATGATACCATGGAGACGAGCAAATTGATGCTAACAGTAAGCCCAATGAAATGTATGATCTCGTTTCTGAAAACCGCGGTGTCGAGATTTTTTTAGCAAATTACGATAGAGGATAACCACTTTGTCAAGTCATATTTTGTTTGTCGAGTGTCTGTCAAGACGATAAAGTTCGATCTGTACTTCTAGTAGCTGGTGCTCGCGGCAACTTACTGATAGAATTGAGTCCGTAGTTGGTATGGTAGACAGACTGCGACGGGAGATTGTTGATCGGGAGTCCGGAGTTGCCGAGGCTGGAACCTAAACTTCCCGTGCTCTGTTGGCCGAGTTGCCCAAAACCGCTCATCGTCATGCTGCTCTGCAATTGTCCAAGACCTACGGGGTAGACGAAGGCAGTTAAATACGCGAGGGGCAATTAATGCAAGAGAATTACAGTGACGTTCGCAAAGAAACGGGAAAGATCGGTTGGTTATCGGTGTCATTGTCGGTACAACCGTCGGTGAACAACCGTGGGACCGATAATACGCAGTAAGTAATTTCAGCTGTCTCAGCCAGTGGACGGGCGAAATTAAATTAGGAGGCGAGCATCGTCGCGACTTCGTCTACGAGAATTGGTGTTTCCTTCTCATGTTGCTTCTTCTCCCGCTAGCGCGTGAACGAGATGCTAATCATATCGCGCAGTAAATGACATGAATCGTATACAATTTGCATAGACGCGGATAATGCGCTTCAATTAAATCGCGGGCAAAAGTGCCTACTTCTTTGAGAGACCCTTCGTTCTCATTACACTTGTTTCCCTGACTTCAGCTTTCAAGATAAAATTGATTTAAGACACATACGTATGTATGAAATGTAAAATGTTGCAAACTAGATTATATAAAATTATGAGCCTCGGATACGTCGTCAGACAACGTTTTAGGAAATATTAAAAATTAGCAGCTTCATTGATCACTGGCGTAACACAGATTTCTTGACACTTGAACATAATTATTTATTTTGCGCGACATTTAAATATTCATACTCTCTCGAAGCTATTTGATTTATAAAAATGAAAGGGAATTATCGCGCCAAAGTATAACCAACAACTCTAGATCTCTTCTCAGTTCTCTACATTATCAAAATAGATTGTGTAAGTATTTCATAAGACAGCGGATCAATTTAAGATGTCTAATGAGAAAATTTGTGCAGAGAGAAAATGAAAAAGATGTTCTATGCAAGTCGACTGAGATATTATATTTTTTTCTTCACGTTAGAGAGAACCGATGTTATGTAATGCATTAGTCAAAATTTCACATTTTGTAAAACAAATAAAAAACGAATGATAAAACGATAATGTGTAAATATGTAAAGTTACCAACATAGTTAAATAATTTAGATACACAAATTGCAGTATACGTTGACACTACAGTATTGTATGCATTATAGAATTCCATCGTACCCATATTTTATCAATGAGCTAATGTGACATATGAAATTGATAGCTGCTACGGAAATAACTGTCGGAGGAGACAGTTTTTTTACAGGACATTTTCAGGAAATTCTAATATAAATTTCATTTTTAAACATGCACAGTGACAAATATCGAGTCTTTGTGAGTAATAATACAGGCGATCGAAAGAGCGTTTCCTGTCTTGGCCAACATGAGCAAATGGATAATTTCTTTCTTTTTTTTTTATCTTACGTTTCTTGGTTACGGTTAGCGATAAAAGCTATTGATATCTGACCTGTCCCCATTCCCCATCTGTCCGCAGGAGTATGAAACATTCCGGTGCACAAGTCGGAGGTCATCGGTCCGAAGGGAGGTAAGCCGTGCGACGGTAGCAGCGATCCCGAGGTCCGAAACACGTTGGTTGTCTTCTTGCGCTTCTTCCACTTCGCTCGTCGGTTTTGAAACCATACCTGCAGACGCGTGAACAAGGACTCGTTATTGGCAGTCATAAAAATGTTCTAAAATTCTTAAGATCCTAAGAAAACATATTATACAGTATGAACTAACAGATCTAATAATTTTGCGCTACATTTATTTTTAAACGACGCGACCACCTCTTACATTTCCACGGTACTCTTTATCTTTTACTCTTTTTGCTGAATAAACACTAATTCGTGGTATTAATAGGTCTCGTTCATCAATGAGCGGTAAGAGACAAAAGTCATTGAATCAACTGCTATTCCCCTCACCCCTAGGCACGTTCGTTTCTAAATCGAAAATCGCACGTCCGACAATTCCTTTCCCCGCCCTCTCCCCCGCGATAACATTTTTTCCTCAATAGGGCGCAACCAAATCCAACCATTGCGACGGTAAGATGTCCCCCGGTGTTACGACAATATCTTCGACCCCACCGCGGGTAGCTATTAGCCGACGTTATGAGCTGTTGATTCTGGCCACGTAGTGGCCCCCTAAGCTGCCGGGGTCCCGGGGACTTGATTTATTGATATCGCATGCAAAGCCCGCCTCTGTGTTCTCCGATATACCTACCCTCGCCCTATCTCGCCACCACTACCACCACCACCAGTGCCAACACGCTACCACTACTCTATCCCCCCCCCCTCCTCTCTCTCTCTCTCTCTCTCTCTCTCTCTCTCTGCTTTGTCTCTGTCTTTCTCTCTCGCTCCTATCCTTCGCCGCAGACTATAGTCCCTTTTCTGGCACGGTAGCTCGCACTGTAGCCATCTCATATGTGCCCATAAATTAGTACTTTAGCATTAGAGAGCGGGATACCGCGCTTGCGCCACCGTACGCACCATACATACAACCGTACACCCACGCGGGACACACACGGAGAGGAGCAGCGCGGCGAAGACCGAGAGGGGTAGCGGTTCGGGGAGGGGGGGGTAGGGGGTAGGAACACCCTACGCTAACATACGAGGATTATACGAATCTAATTGGATATATGGGATTTACACGCTCCAGTATACACCTCAGGTATTGCAACGAAGCGATCGTTGCATTCTTACGCGCTCGAAGGTCCGTTAATATCTGGCATAAGATTTTGGAAGCGGATGAAACGGACGTCAGTATCTTTAATATCGTCACCTGCTGTCGCTTGGAAACAGTTTTAATAAGATCCATTAACTTTACATACGTCGTGCAGCTTCATGGATGTTAACGCCGTCATCAGTGAAGCAACAATCATTCATTTTTAATGCTTATTGGATTGCGATTATATATCGAGTAGGTAATAAGCGACCGCATGAAATGTAGTGATTACTGCAAATAACTTGATGCGAGATGTGTTTATATCTGCATCTTTTATTCTTTCTTATATGTACTGACTTATCTTTCTTAAGGTAATCGTCTTTAATTTTTAATTGAACGTGAACAATGATGTCATTTTTGGCTAAATTAACGTTTATCGTCCCGTGATATTTGTCGGAGGCTCGTAACAGCTGGCGGGTCTCTTGACTCTCAAGGATGGACGCTCGTGACGAGAGAATGGCATTAGAGCTGGGTGGTGTTAAGTGCATTGGGACCGAATCAGCGTCTATATATCAGTCAGTGGCGTAGAATCAAATACTACTCTCCTCCATCTCCATAAAATTCACTACATCCTTATAAAGGCGGATATATCTACCATTTCTTGAATATGTGAGTGCGCATTTCTCTTCGTCGACACCGCGTGTAACTTGAAATGCGAATACGATGATTCAATAGAAGAAGATACACAAAATTATTAAATATCTCCAATAATTTACATTTTATGTTTGCAGGTTGTCCGTTATAATCCGATATATTTATCTAACGGACGTCAATCGTTCACTTGATCGCGTACTCAAATTATCGTTTTACTGAACTGCCATTAATATCTAGTCGTTCAATCTTATCTCACTTAGGCTAGTTAAAATTCACAACTTACGTCTGCTAATTGCTACTGCATATTAGCAATGCAGTTTTTACACATTTTAGTACGCTATCTTTTCTTTACACTTAAAAATACTTCGGTTTGTATACCATTAAATCCTTCTATTCGTGTATAAAATGTCTATCTATTTATTACTGAATAAATAGATTAAATAAGTAGATTAAACAAATGGCTGTAAATACATGTATTCGCTTCGAATAAAATGTATTTGTAATTTATGTTAAAAATGTCTCAATTAAAATATTCTTAGAGCCGTTCTGCGTTAAACACACATTTTTCTTTTTAATCAACTTGTATTAAGCAGAGCATCTTCTTAAATAATACAAATATTTTTTATAATTTTATATGAATACATGTTTATTTTTAGATGTTTTAAGAATTTTCTAATTTTCGCAAAATAGAAATTTTCTCCTTACCGATACGTCTATTTTATTTTCTTTTAAAGGAACCGCGACGTGCGGTGAAGGTAGGCATTTAGCCACCCTTTTCTGACACGTCGTCTTCGCGCCGTCGACGAATCGTCGATTTCACGGTAGAATTACGACGAAACCGCGACTAAATGCCCGTGGATAATCCGCCATTACACGCCGATACAGAAGAGGGAAAAAGCACGGGAGTGACTGCCTACGCGCAAATCGCGCATTATCACCGTACACCCTCTATCCCGCGCGCAGGTGCATCGAGCCTATACGCGTATGGCAGAACTTCCGTTAATTAACGCAGGCGGATGCTAATGACTTCTGTTACGAAATAACAACGCACGAACGAGTGCTTTTGACGCGCTTGTCCGATACCGAAAAGCTGAGCAATTGATGAGTTCTTTATTCGTGTCTTTATCGTGTCCCAAGATTCACATCGATGAACGATCGGGCGTATCAAAGTGTGCCCAGAAGTAAACAGATTACGTTTGTGACAAATCCTACACGCTAATTGACATACCACGATAGTCCCGTAGATAGATAAAAATTTCATTAAATTGTGATGCAACAAATGCATAATATGTTCAGAAATTATATACACAGACTTTATGCAAATATATAATGACGAAGATTCGCGACAGTCAAAAATATATGGGATCTTTATAATTGCAATCAATTTAACTACATGTTCTATATGCTCCGAATACATTTACAATATAGAACGTACTATATGTTCGACATGTTCCGAAATGCATGACATTTTCCTTTTGGACATCGATCGATAGGAATCGACAGGTCCCTGCCCGAGAGCTCTATGTATTAAATCTCTTAATCAATGTGATTGAAACAGTATAAAGATATGTTGAGTTCACTTCATAATATCATTAATATAACTTCATATTTAGCTCTAATAGAAATGCAATCGTTCTATCTTTGGTATTAGTTTCTCTAACATTGGTTCTGTCATGCACGTTTTTGTGCCACTGGAATGCACACCAAAAATTTTACAAAAGAATTTATTAATGAGGGACAAGTAAAGAGGGGAAAGTACGGCGCGATGGTGCGTATAAATTAATTATTATATCTACCTTTAATAAGTAATAGGATTTAAGTATAAATCGAACATATTTTGCCTTGAGCTATCTTCAGCGATGCGGTAACAATTGAAGATAACGAAAGAATTTATCCAAGTTTCAATTACGATAGCTGTTCACAAGCGTATTAATAGCGAAATATTTGGTATATTCTGTAAAACCTATGTACTCAGACATGTACATATACGTACAGAAAATATGTATTTAAGTATATATTCAAAGTATACTTCTCGTTAATGTGCTAATGAGCGATACTCGGTCGATGAATGATAGCCGACATCGGTGTTTCATTGTTAGCGAAGAAATCCGAGAGGGGTACTTGAATAGGAACAACTGGCATGAATCGTAGTTGAACACACCTTTCGATGACTAAGATGCCCTGACTGACGCCTTTTCGTAAGATATAAGCGCTCTGGCAAGGAGCGAACCGGCGCGGCGGGTCAATTAGGAACATTGCTTTTTAAAAATTGATCAATCACTGCTTCCTCGGGGCGCGTGCGCCGTGGCAGCTGTTCCCAGGAAACACCTGGGATCAGGATGAGGGTGGATACGGACGTTGCTGGTTTCATAAAATCGACATCGACTCTCCTAGTAATCCGGCCGCTCGAGATCGTGGGCGCATTTCGAGTTGTACGAGTTGTAGTGCGAAATACAGTTTTGATAAAATTCCAGATGATACATTCCAGTGTTATCACAGGAACATATGATAGCTAATTTTTTTTTTTTAAATAAAATCTACATTTTTCACGAATTTTTGAATGTTAAAAATAATTGCAAAAGAGAACAATGTCTTGATTGGGAAAAGTAAATCGATTAAAAATAAAGGAAAATAAATCCTTTACAGTATAACTGTATTTCTCTTAAAGAAAGAAAATTCTCTCATAAATGCCGGCTTTTGTTTAACAGCATTACTACTGTGTTAACTTATCGTACTAATAAAAATTTCAAATAAAATATTTTCTCAATGTTTTTACTATTGTGAGATCGATAGGCAAATATCTTAATATCTTAATGTATCATAGCGTGTAGCTAATGAGAATGTGATACGCTTATTCATATTCAGCGCACATTTGTTATTCTACCTGCATGATAAAAAATCGCCATAAATTTATCCGTCGACATTTTTACACGAGAGGCTTACGCAAAATTTACATGACAGACTATTTACATTTATAATTCGCTGTTCATTAATTTCAGAATCAAGTAATTCCGTTCGTTAAATGAATTATTTTCCATCGTTGAACGTATTTGTAATGTACACACGATCGATATTTCAATAATGATAATGCATTATCAAATCGTACGTGTTTTCAACAGGGTTGCAAAATTTTGAAGAAAAAACAACGAGGTTTTATTAGCAGCTTACGAACGATTATTTATACTTTTTTGGTAATCATCTTCTTAATTTTATTTATGAAAGATTATGATTTCAGTGTAATTAAGTTTGTAATAATTTAAAAAAATGTATACTTAATCTCATTAATATAATTAATTTTCACACGATCGTACGATTGTATAACCAATTT